ACACACACACGCGCACGCACGCACACACACACACACCGCACACACACACACACACACACACACACACACACACACACACACACACACACACACACCAACACACACACACACACGCTCTCACGCACGCACACACGCACGCACGCACGCACGCACGCACGCACGCACGGACACACACACACACACACACACACACACACACACACACACACACACACACACACACTGTCACACACACACACAAGCCGCTGCACGCGCGGTTGCATATCTCAATCTGCTTCTCTGCTGCCCCACGATAGCCGCATGGCAATGGGAAGCCCGGGCATCTTTTTGTCCGTTTGTTGCCCGGATCTCCGTTTGCCCGCCATTCGCTTGGTTTCTGTCGTGCCTGCAGTTTGTCCATCTACTCCTCCCGCAGCCGTTTTTGATCTCTGGCCGCTAGCAGTGGCGACGAGCCGTCTTGTGAAGCGAACCCGCGCCAGCGGCCCTTCCTCGGAGGCGTCGGCCATGAAGGGCGTCAGCAGGAGCCGCCAGCCCTGCCAGCAGAACGCCCCGAGCCTCCACCCGAGACCCCCGCCGGGCATCTTCCTGACAGGCCACCAGCCCCCGCGCGGCGCCGAGGTGCCTCCGCCCGCGCGCACGGTCCTCGGTGCCGTGCCCGCCCCGCCCGGCATCTTCCTGCTCGGCTTCCCGCCCGCGCGCGGCGCCGAAGAGCCGCCGGCGGCGCGCGCGGCCTTCGCCGCGGCGACGGCGGCGCCCCCACTCGCGCGGGCGCCGGAACCCGTCCGCGCCTGCCCGTGGTGCGGATGGCGGGGGGCCGCGGAGATGGCCTCCTCCCGCTGCTGCATCGCCTGCGGCGGCGAGCTCTGCGGCGGCAGCGGCGCCCCCGCCGCGCCGCCGCATGCGGCGGCTGGCCGCGCCGCGCCGCCGCTGGCGGCGGCCAGGGTCAACGGGGGCCCTTGCCCGCCGTCACCGCCCGCCTCTGCCTTTGGCGGGGGCCTGCCCGCGGAGCAGCAGGGCCCCGCGCAGGCCACGGCCCGCGACCGGCCCGCGGCGCCGCGCGGCCCCGAGCCTGGTGCGCGCGAGGCCCCCTGCGCGGGGGGGCCAGCCTCGGCGGTGCCCCCCTCGGCGGTGCCCCCCCCGCTCAAGCTCATCGCGGGCCTGTCTGCTGAGCAGCGGCGGGCGCTGGTGGCCACGCTGGAGCGGGGCCTGCGCGGAGACACGGGCAGGCTGCGGGTGGTCGCCGGGCGGCGCTGCTCCGCCGTCGCGGCGGCGGCCGAGGAGGGCCCCGCGCAGGTGAGGAACCAAGAATCGCCCCAGATCGCACCAGGCCTGCACGTTAGCGCGCGCGAGGAGTTGTGCACAATGGGTCCGGGTCCAGCAGTGCGACCTCCAATGAATCTCATCCAGAGTTTGTCCGTGGAGCAGCGGCGGGAGTTGATGACCAAGCTGCAGCGGGGCCTGCCCGAGGACATGGACAAGCTGCGGGCGGGCGCCGGGCGGCACTTCTCCACCGTCGTGGAGGCGTCTGGGAGAGCCCTCCCACAGATGAGTAATCAAGAGCTGCTGCCCCAGACGGCACGTGGCCTGCATGTTGGCGAGCGCGAGCAGCCGTACACAAGGTGGCCGGCTCCAGCGTTGCCACTTCCTTTGGGCATCATCAAAGGTTTGTCCAAGGAGCAGCGGCAGGTGATGATTGCCAGGCTGGAGGTCGGCCTGCCCGACGACATAGACAAGCTGCGGAAGTTCGGTGAATTCAGTTGAGCTTTGCGCAAAGCAGCGATGGGCGGTCGCTCACGGCCGAGCCACAGGCCAGCTCACCCAACGCCACTGACAAGCTGTGGGGCGGCGCCGAGCGGGACCTCGCGGGCGCGGGCAGAGATGTAGCACCTGCCGCAGATGACGCGCGGCATTACAGTGCACGAATCGCAAGCGGCAGCGCAGTCTGTATATAGCTAGCCTCCGAGAGCAATGTACATGACGAAGGCTTGCCAGTCCGCACCCTCTGTTGCGGGCAGTGCTCCGGAGGAGGAGCGACATGGGCAGGGGGGAGAAACGGGGAAGGCAACGGCGGGGAAAGCAGTGCCTCGGCGGCGCAACAACAGATTAGTTGCAACGCCTTGGGCACAGCTCCAAGTTCAAGCATTGTCAGAGTTCTGCTATTTTCAGCTCCACTTGTCCGACACTTAGCAGTGTGAGCTCGTGGTGAACCAGCACGCAATGTTCATTTTGCATCAGGTCATTGGCAGTTATTGGGGTATTTAGTTTCCCATTCAAGGGCCGTTATAATAATTTGCGGAGGCACTGCCGCCGACGCATTGGCCCTGGCTCCAAGCTCCACCTCTTCCTCCTCCTCCTCCTCCTCCTCCTCCTCATCCTCCTTTTTCGCATAATACAACCTCACTTTGGGTGGCAACTTTGGGTGGCAAGGGGGGTGGGGGGGCTGATCGGAGCAGCTTTCGGTTTGCGATTGGCGTCGGGCCGTATACGCGATCTATCAGTTAGTCAATCGATTCTGATATCCCCATCTGCCGGCACACACTTACCAGTCGATCCCACGACGGAGCTATCGTTCGATGTATCGATTTCTTCATCATCATCATCGTCATCGTCATCATCATCATCATCATCATCATCATCATCATCAGCATCAGCATCAGCATCAGCATCATCATCATCATCATCATTATCAGCACCATCATCGTCATCATCAGCATCACATTTATATATGAAATTAATCCAGCTGCCTGCGGCACGTTCCGCCACCGCGCCTGGGCTGTCAGTATGAAGCCTGTTGGATGTTCGTGTTCGTTGGGGTCTCGTGGGATGCCGTTCGGGGTTCTCTTGAAGGCAGCTTTGAAGCCTCGTGGGGGCTGTTTTGGGGCCTCATGGGGTCTCTTTTGGGCCTCTTTGGGGCTTCGTGGGGCCTCTTGGGGGCCTCTTGGGGGCCTCTTGGGGCCTCTTGGGCGCCACTTGGGGCCTCCTGGGGGCCTCTTGGGATGGAAGTCTCGGATTTTCGGTTCGTGTTCCCTCTCGTGGGCCTCATTGAGAGCCCGTTTGGGGCCCTCTTGGGCCGTCTTGGGCGCCTTTGTTCGTCTTCGGGCGTTCTTAGGCCGTCTTGGGGCCCTCTTAGAGGCCTCTTGGGCTGTTTTGGGGTTGTCGTGGGGGCATCTTGGGCCGTCTTGGAGCGTCGGGAAGCCGAAAAGGCGGGAACGCCAAAATCGCTCACACACTTAAGGACAATCAATGATTGTTGCCTCTTGGGGCGTCTTGTGGGCCTCTTAAGCCGTCTTGAGGCCATCTTGGGCGTCTTCGAGCGATCGTTCGGCGACTCGGGGCCCTCTTGGACCGTCTTGGGAGCCTTCTGGGCCGGGAAGCCTTGGAGAGTCCCAGGGCGGCACCATGGCCGCCCAGGGACCCCCTGGGAGTAGGGGAGTCAGGTGGGCGTGACCGGGGCGGGTGGGGGACCTCAGAAGACTACAGAAACCTTGCCAGGCAGCCCTTTGCGTTCGTCCACGCCTCAACGTGCCGCAGGCACGGTGGCGGATATACATGTCGCATGTCTGTGTGCGTATCTGTACATGTATGTACGTATGTCAACCTCAAGCTCTGGATATTCAGGGATCGGTCTCACTCTCTGCTTACGTACCGCGCACAGACGCGACAACTACGGGACAATCGGCGGACATCCACAGGAAACTACGGGACAACCACGGGACAACCACGGGACAACCCCGGGCACGCCGCGGGAAGGCACTGGGGCAATCGCGGCACAATCGCGGGACAACCCAGGGCACGCCCTGGGGAGGCGAGTCCCTGCTGGCACGAGTTGGGCTTGGCGTGTGCAGGAACTCACGCAGCATCGCCTCGCCCGCTGCCGCGTCACGCACGGTACGAGCCGGAGCCGAAGCCGAGGTGCTGGTTGAGGGGCTCCATTCCGTTCCTTTCCTGGTGGGGGGGCTTCGTTCCATTCCTGGTGGGGGGGCTTCGTTCCAAATTGACCGGCTCAGGAGGGAAAACGAGACACAGGCTCGATCCCCAGGCACACACGGGAAACGATGGGACTTGGAGGGGAAGACGAATCTCCAGAACATACTGGCTACATGGGGATTTCGGGCGAAGGGAATTGTGCACATGCACCGATCCTGGCAAGGCCCATCCTTGACCCAGGATCGGTGAATATGCTGTCCTGGCCACGGTAGGAGGGCGTATGCACCGATCCTGGGCTCAGGATGGGCCTGGCCAGAATCGGTGTATGTGCATAGTTCTTTTTCCTCTAGGGATTCCTGGAATCAGTGCCTATGCACGTGTGTACCCCCGGGCCCCTCTTCCCAGACATCCGGCCGCTCCAATTTTGTTCGATGCGTGGGCCCTGGGGATCTGGACCACTTCCCTGTAGGGCTGGTTTTCATCCCGAGTCGTTTTTGTTGACCGTCGCGGGGCCCTGCGAGGGCCCCCCAGAGGGCGGGAACAGCCACCAACCGCCCGCTCCCATTGAGCGACGCAAAAAAAAAAAAAAACGGTGTCGTCTGCGCCGACGTTTGCGCGCTTGTTGCCTGCGCATGGCCGCGCGCAGGCGCCCTCGTCTCCAACGCAGCCTGCCGCGCTCGCAGCCCGCGCGAGCCGCGGATCGTCGCTCGATTCTTTCGGGGTGCCGGATCCCTGGGCTGCCGCCCCCCCTCCGATGCTCCTCCGCTCCTCGCCCCCCCGGCCCCCCTCCTCCGGGGGGAGCGCACTGGAGGCCACGCGTTGGGGGAGCGGCGAGGGGGGGGGGGCAGCGGAGGCTCGCAGAGACGGGCCCCCGTCCAGAAGACCTTTCGGGCCCGGGCAGGCCGCGGTTCTGCCCCCCCCCCCCCCCCACCAGATCATCGGATGGGCCGGTCTTCCATCACCACCACCACCACAAGTTGGAGGGGGGAAGGAGGTGGAGGACGAGGAGGAGGGCGAGGAGAGCGAGGAGGAGGAGGAGGAGGAGGAGGAGGAGGAGGAGGAGGGGGATGGGGGAGGAGGAGGAGGGGGAGGGGGAGGGGGAGGAGGAGGACCCCCTCCCCTCCAACTTGTGGTGGTGGTGGTGGCGGAAAACGGTCCAGCAAAATTGATCGCCCCCTCTCGTTTCATTTTGCGCCCCAATCGGAGGGGCCAGCGCCACGGACCCCACCTCGGGCCCTGCACACCCCGCCCGGGCGAGGGCCGGCAGGGCAGGGCGCGGAGGGAGGCGGCTCGGGTGGCGCTCGACGCAGCAGTCGCAGCTGAGGGCAGGGACGGGTGACCCCTTCAAGGGCACGGTCGGACCGAGGTACAGGATTCAAACAATGGCGAAGCGTCTTTGCTCGCCTACAGCCCCACCAAAGAATGTTCTAAGCACACGTTGTGGTCTGCACGAAATGTTATTATTAGAACATTTCTGGCTGGGACTGTTTTGCTTTATCGCATCGGGCTTATGTTCTAAGAACACTGTTTTTGTTCTTGGAACATTTTTGGGTTCTGAGAACATTCCGTTGTAGGACTATAGGAATGCCGGGACGGTCGATCCCTGCTCAAAAGATCGAGGTCGGTTCGGGGAGGGTACCTTGATATTCTTCGCATTCGTCGGATGTTCTTGTGCACCTTTGGGAAGGGTACACTCGGATGTTCTGTGTGTGTTGGCCAGCGGAGGGTCTCGTGTTCTTGAGGGATGTCCTTTTGGCCTAGGTCCGACTGTAGCAGTCGAAACCGATGGGAAGGACGGGTAACCTTCCAAAGGGTACCCTTTGCGTCCGTGCCTCGCCCAGAGGCCCAGACCCCCTCGTGTTGTGAAGAAATCATGACTTTCGCCCATCGGGGGCCCCTACGGGCCCCAGGACCGTCAGAAAACGACTCAGGATGAAAAGCGGCTCCCGGGAAAGGGGTCCAGACCTCTGGGGGTCGACGTTGTGACAAAATCATGACGTCGGGGGTCTGAGGGATGGAAAGGTACCCATACCGCTACCCTTCCCTCGTTCTCGCCTTTTTCGGCCTCATGGGAGGCCCTCGTCGCCACCGCTGGATTCGCTTCGAAATTCTGGCCAGAACGCACCCCTGCAGAGATCTGGGGAGCAGCGGTATCGGTACCCTCTGGTTTTGCCATTTTTGGTCCATTTTTCATTACTGTCGATGGCCTGCCGCGCTCGAAAAAGCTTGAACGTGGACGTCCAAGGGGCTTGCGTCCTCATCGCGCATCTTTGCAATCAGCTTTGACTGTGCACCACGTCGTGCAGCCGGCCAGGGTTCCAAGGAGATCGGCCAAGGAGTTCGGTGCGCAGACGCTCCAACGTCTCGCTGGCTGGGCAGCATGGGCGTCTACTCGTATCATATCGACGCGGCGGCGACCCCAGCGCCAGCGTTCGGCGCCAATATGGAACGATCCGGCGATCGACACGCCGACCGTGGAAGATGGAACGATCCACGCGGTCTCGGAGACCGGCGCCAGGGGATCCTCACGCGACACGAGCCTGCCGTGCACGCACGCCGAACTCCTCGGCCGACCAAGCGACGTGGTGCGTGCATCGAGCCCCTCCTGCGCAGCGCGCGCGGCCCTCGCGCGCTGGGCCAGGCCGGCGCGTCATGACGCGCGCCCAGGGCCCCGCGAGGCGGACGGGGGGGCCTCGCCCCCGCGCCCTGCACGAGCTCGGGACGTTTCTCGGGATGGCAACGGTGCGAGCCGGCCGGCTTCCCCAGATTTCTCGGTTATCTTCAGGACGTGCGCTCGCCGAGTGCGTGAATAGGGGAACAGAAAGTGGCCTAAACATGAAAACTCGGAGGTCCGCGCGGATTTCTCGGATCGGCGCCGGACCCCCCTCCCTGGCGCGCGGAGCGCGCCAGGGAGGGGGGTCGGAGGCGTCGCCGGGGGGCCCCATCGCCGATCCGAGAAATCCGCGCGGAGTTCCGAGTTTTTCTGTTTATACCACTTTTTGTCTCCCTAGTGAGTGTGCGCGTGTGTGCGCCCCGTTCAGCTCGGCCGATGGCGCGCAGCCCGATGTGGCCCTCATTGGCTCTGCCGCCCGCGTCGCGCCGGAGGGCTTCGGTAGAGAGTCGCACCGTTTGCGTCAGCACGCGTCCTGAGAACCACGGATTTTTCTTCCTCGCAAGAGGGCAGTTGCCCCAGCGGCATGTCCACATTTTACGCCCAGGCCGGCGCTTCCGCCGAATCCAGCCGAGCTCCGACTCCGACGGGGCACGAGGACCTTCTGCAGCGCACACCAATTAGCGGGTTTCCCCGCCGCCTCGTCGGCGCCCAGTCCGCGCTGGAGTGCTAATGCCTCCGCTCGTACTGCCTCCTGCCTCCTCCTGCCCGCTCCCCTCCTCTCCCCCTGGATCCCGCCGAGGTTTTTCTGGGCTGCAGTCTAGCGTCCAATCAGCCAGTTGATCTTCCTAGCGCAAAATCACAAAACAGCATGTGTCCCCATATGGTTCAGTTCTTCTGTGTAGCGCATGACGTACTGCTGAGCCATTGGTTTGTAGTGTTGCCTCGCGTGCGTTCTTGCGTATCACCTTGCCTTGCATTGCATAGTTTCTCTCTCGCTCTATGTGTCTATATATACATAAATTCACGTATCTGTGTGTATGCGCGTATTCCTCCAGCTTTCATGTTCGTCTGTCGGCTGTTTCGATCCGCAGCAGGCCCTAGCTTGCCTTCCATGATTCACTCGTCGCCGTCACGGTTCCATATGTGGGAAGATTCGTCTAGCAAGGAAGTGGCCTTTCGATTTCCTTCTGACCTGCCCTTTCCGCAAGCGAGTTTGCCACGCGGGAGATCCTATGAGGCCCCGCGCGGCGCGCTGGGCCATAGTTGCATCACCCAGTCCACACGTGCGCTCCGTCAGAGATCGGCTGCCGTACTTGCGGCGCTGCTCCGAGGTAGATCCGATGTACATCCGACGTGCGTCCGACGTGCAACCCGACATGAATCCGGCGTGGACTCGACGCAGTTAATTGGGCTCAAGTTGCCTCGCGAGGCCTCCAGGATTTCTCACAGAGCTTGCCGTCTGACCTGCGTTTCGTTTTCCCCCCAGCGTTAAGTCGGGCATGTCTTTCTACAGGAGGAGTAATATGCAAAAGTAGTCAACAATTAGGCCATGGACGATTTGTCAACCATGATTTTTTAAAAAGTAATTAAGACATGTTTAAATGTTATCTCACCATCTTTTAATTTTCGCCCAAAATCTGCCTGTAGCAGGACATGCGTGCCCTCGCGTCTTCTGTGCGCCTGGGAAGCGCCTGCACTGCGCGTGCTGCCCACCCTGCGCCAGGGGGGGGGGCGAGCGGCTACGGCCGTCCGTCGTCCGTCTCTTGGGGGCCCCTCTTGGAAGCTCGCTTTGTGACGGGGAAGGGGACAGGAGCCTAGATCTAGACGGTCGTGAACTTCTGGTTAGCGGTTAGCGTTCGGGGCTCGAGGTTCTCGGACGTGCTCGCAGGCTGTTGTCGGTGGTTCTCCAGCCTCGGGAGGCGTTCCAGCAGCTGCGCCTCGTCAAGAGCGTTCCGGGGGTGCCCGGATCGTCCCGAACGGCCGGAGGGCCGAGTCGGGGCCCGAAGACCACCAGGGGAGACGGTCAGGAGCTGCGGCTTCGCGCGTCGCTCCGCCTTTTTCTGGCCAAACACTCGGCGGCGAGCGATGGGGGAGAAGTAGGAAGGAGAAGGCCGTCGCAGAAGGCGGCGGGGCTTCTCAGAAGCCCTCGCGCCGTCTGAGAAGCCTTCCGCGGTGTCTGCGGGGAAGGCTTCGCAAGCCCCTCAGTGGGGGAGGGGGCTTCCGAGCCTTCTGAGGAGGCCCACTTCCCCTCCTCCTGGGCCGGCCGCCAAGAGAGTCCGTAACCCAGAAGCTCCAGGAATGCTCTGGTCGAGCACGTCGCGACCGGTCGTCAGCTTCCCCGATCTCCAGAAATCTCCAGTTCCACGCTCTGGCAGCCCAGAATCACCAGAAATTCGGCCTCCAGTCGTGCATGCTGGCAACGAGCGAGCCGTCGACGTCGACGTCTTTGCAGTGCTCGTTTGGACCCCGACGCGCCGTTCCGTCGCTACCGAAATTCGACGCCCTCGGATCGCGGCCGCAATTCAGCGCGATCGAAATCCGATGCTCCAGGTGTCGTAATAAATGGGAGGGGGTCTGGACCCTCCAAGACAGGCCATTTCAGACCTCCCCCGTGGGAGAACCCTCCAAGACATCGTCCCCAGACCCCCCCAGGCCCTCCAAGATAGCCTGGAAGAGACCCCCTCCGAAATGAGACCACCCTCCCTTTATTACGGAATCTGGAGTACCTAAGATGTTCGGTCGCGGATGATTTGAGGAAAGGTCTCCTGAAGGCCGAAGATGTAGAACGATTTGCGGTCGCGACTTTTCCACACCGCCTGGATCTGAGCCCAGACATCTTGAGACATGTGTTTGTTTCTCTTCGCCGCCCCCGGGAGTTCCCGACCCCTTGTCCAGAGGTGATCTTCCGTTCCAGAACCAGCTTTGATGGTCCCGGGGCTCCGTGACTCGCCCCAGAGCCAGGAAAGTCGCCTCGATTGAAATGTCCTGTCGTCGGAGATCTGGTGATTTGAGTGCCTGATGTTGGTTGCCTCCGTCTGCTCTGCTTACCTCGCTTTGATGAAGTTCGGTTCGCTGGCTTCCAGTTGCGTCAAGTGTGATGTCCACGCCCAGGTTCTGGCTTGCATTCCAGCTTGCCCCTAGTTGGTTGTTGTTGAGTGTCTTTAAGTTGTCTGCGTGCTTGTCGTCTTGCCTGGAGGTGGCCTCACCTTCCATTCCGCCCTCAGCTTGTCTTCAGCATGTCACTCATGTGACCCCGTCCCTGATGTCTAGCTTGCATCCCGACAGCCCATCTGGCTTGCTTTCAGTCTCGCCGTCCAGGCCCAGTTCGTGCTCTTGGGCTTCCGTACACTTCTTGATACTGTTGGTCACACGTGTGTTCTCCCCGTTTGTCCCGCAAGCCTGCATGCAGACACTGTTTCCAGGCAGGCTGCATGCCGCCCGCATGTGGGGTGATTGCCTGCTTGCCTTCAGCTTCATCGTGCCTCGCCGATTGTCCTCAAGCAAGAGGGAGGTGATGGAGGGCGAGGGGGGGTGATGCAAGCAGGGGGCGGGAAGGGGAATTACCCGGCGCGTTCCACTACTCGCAGAGTGCCTACTCGCAAACGTCCGGACATCGCACGCTTGCCTCGATAGCATGGGCCGTAGTTCCCCCGTGGCGGAGCCAGGCCATCTGCGAGGAGTTATTTTGCGAGTAGAGGAACCCGCTTGTGTTCTGGCGACCTCGTGAGCCGTTCTCGGTTCGACTTCGTTTTGCAGCAAGGGCAGATTGGATAAAAAAACAGGGGGCAACAAGTAACACACAATGTGCACGAACAGCGCTGCTTAGGTCGACCCCTGATGTGCAGAGGTAGCAGGGAGAGTGGGGGGCGGGGCAGCAGGGAGGGTGGCGAAGGGGGGCGGGGGGCAGAGCACGAGGTGCGGCAGAGCAGACAAGGGCCCATGCCAAGCCAGCCCTTCGTTGCTCTCTTTGGGTGACCTCCCTGAGGCCCATATGACGGATGTGTTCGACGCCAGTTCCGTTCCAGATCGATCCAAGTTCGTCCCATGTTCGATTCAGATTCGACTCAGGTTCGGTGCCAGTCGACGGGCGTCTGACGCAGCTTCGACGCACGAGCGGATCGAGTGGCTCCAGGAAGGTCTCCAGGCTGAGCATATGACAAAGCGGAGCTCGACAATTCTCCGATGCCGTCTTGGCTGAAGCTCTCCTTTCAGATCCGCTTGCTGGCCCTCCCAAGCCCTCAGTGGAGGAAAAGGTACCCATGCCGCTACCTCTCTCTCTCTCTCTCTCGTTTTCTTCTGTTTGGGCCTCCTGGGAAAACCTCGTCGCCACAGCTGGAGTCGCCTTGTTTTCCCGTTGTTCGACCTCCTGCGTCGCCACCGCTGGATTCGCTTCGAAATCCTGGTCAGAGTGCGTTCCAGGAGAGGTCTGGGGAGTAGCGGCATCTGCACCTTTCAGTTTCCCCAATCCCAGGCGAGGTTACCAGATGGCGGACTCCGACGAAGAGGAGGTCGTAGGAGAGACCGCGAAGACAGCCCTGCCAGAGGTGCTCACCCGCAAGAAGGAGCTTCGCCATGACCTCTTCGAGAAGACGATACTGATCAGTGCCGAGGCTCTGAAGAAGCACAAGCTTCAAAAAGACGTGGCGCAAGCAATCAAGCAAGAGCTTGACAAGGACGCGGACTTCAACGAGCTGGTCGGCAAGGGGCCATGGCAAGTCATTGTGGGAAGGTCCTACGCAGCGGCGATCACTCACGAAGCAATGCACATAGCATTCTTCGACATCCCGATCTACCAAGAGACGATCCTGATCTTCAAGGCTCTCGGCGTGCAGAATCTCTGAGGGAACGCCCCGCCACGAGCACGGAAGCATGCGCGCTGATGCCTGTGCATTCACACGCGGCTCCGTTTGAGTATCAGCTGTGCTTCTTCGTGGCCGTATGCAGCGCAGAACGCCCGGCACGCAACCCGGCAATTACTCGAAGAGAAAACTCCACAGTCAGAAATTTCGGAAGCTCCAAGCTGATTTCTTCGTTCTGCGCTGGCGCCCGTCCAGCGGCGCCTCCAGCGTCGCCAGGGCGGTGGGCCCAGCGCCGATCCAAGGCATTCGCGTGGAGCTCCAGAATTTTCTGGTTGTGTGTTGTTGTTCTTCTGGTTGCAGTATAAGGTCGTTCTCAGCGGTATTGGTTGCTCACTCTCAGCTGTGCCGCGTGCCCTTGCATCCTCTGTCTTCTTGGGCTGCACGCGGGGGTGCGGAAATGCGCGACCCCCCTCGGCTGCAGCGACGCTCGCACTGACTGGACGAGGTACACAAAAAAATTGCAGACCAAGGCAAGGCTAGGGCTCGCAAATCATCAGAGGTCGACCCTAATCTCCAGATTTGTTGGGTTTTCGACTGGACAACTAAACTGGGACCCAAGTTGGCGATATACGATGGGGGGCGTCTATCCTCGGTGGGGGCGCCTCCGATCTCGCTCCTTGGGCGCAGCGCCAAGCCCGAGGCGCGATCTCTTCGAAACGAGCTGTGGTGTTGAACACTGAAGGTGACCATCATTGTCGACGTGACGACGAGGGCGATGATTGTCCGACATATTCTCACCCTCGACTATTGAAGTCCCCATACCTCCGACCCGGACGACACATACGTCCGATGCATGTTTTCTGTTGTTCCGAGCCACAGCTCCCGCACACCTGTCCGCACCAGCCTCGGCTAATGTTGCCACCAGTGTAATGCCACCTCCCTTGGAGGAAGCTGCCAACCGGCCCTGATCACCCTCCATGTAGAATTTCAATACAACCCAAAATCGATCAGAAAAGCCATCCAAATATTCTTTCACCTTGGCGACATAAATCGCAGTATCCCCCGCCCCCGAGCTGCACTGTTGCCTGAGTCGCCCCCTCTCCCCTCGCCCTGACCGCTATGTAAGTGCTCTGGCGAGTCAGTGACTCAGTCAGTCAACTTCGCAGAAACGAAAGTCAAGGATCCTTACACACTTCAAAGTAATTTCAAACATCAGTTGACAGCATAGTAATGCAGGGCCAAACATTGTGGAGTAGATCAAGATACAGGTGGTCATGGCAATGCAATTAAAGATGATCAACTGTCAAACCAATGCAAGGGAACTGCCAGCAATGGGACATAAGAGAGAGCGAGAGCAATGACAGGCTTTGGAAATGCTGGGGCATGGCAAAAGGACCCAACGCATTGCCATGCAGGATCAGATCGTCACGGCGCAGAATTGCACGAGAACACAAGGTGAGACAAGGCAAGATCTCGCACGGGATGGCACCGCAATGCAAATAAGGCGTTTCATGCCAATGCGATCACTTGGTGGTCAAAGCATCTCATGGTAACGTGAGGTTTCTCTAACTCTTTCTATGCGCGATGCAAGCAAACTATGGCAATGTAAGGGTAGGCTCAGGCACCTCACGGGAAGTTTGGGCAAGACAGAGCAAGGACAAGCAAGGCAAAGCATGGCAAGGCGACGCAATGTCATGCAAGGCGCGAAACATTGCTAGGCAAGGCAAAGCAAGGAACCGCAAGACGGACAGGAATCGCATATCTAGGCACATCATGGTCGTCCAAGACTTGGTCACAGAAACGCAGGGCACGACCCACAATGCCAGGCCTGTCGAGCAAGCGGACCCCAGATTTCTGACGTCGTGATTCGTTCACAACGTGGCTCCCCAGAGGTCTGGACCCCTCCCCCGTGGACCGGCTTCTCGTCCAGAGTCGGTCCTTGGGTGGCCCCGGGGCCCGGCAAGGGCCCTGGCAGACGGAGACTCGCCGCAGTTCCCCCGTCCAGATTTGCCCGCGACGGGAGGAGGAGGCGGGGGAGCGCCAGGCCTGCCGGTTTGAAGCATGTCTATCCCTGTGTTTGGCATCGCCTCATCTCGGTGCTGATCTCGAGGATCCCCTCCGTGTCTGAGGGCACAGCCCTGAGATTGCCCTCGCCTTCTGCTCGCCCCTCTCAGGGATATAGGGATGAGTTCGAGGCCGGTTCAAGCAGGGGCACAGTCCATCTGGGGCTGGGTTCTTCAGGAGGGAAAAACATACAGACACAATTAACCGTCGACTCCCAGAAAATACGGGAAAATATGGGCAGTGGGGGGGAGGACAAAAGCCCAGAAAATATAGGAAAATTTGGGGGATATCTTTTATTTGTGTGTATTTATTTGTGTGTCCTTGGGCCCCTTCAGTGCTGGCCGTCTGCCGAGGCAGGAGCCGCCGCACGGCGGTCGCAGCCGCGGCAGCGCGTGCCTTAGTGAGCACCTGGTGGGCAGCGCAGCACAGGCGCGCACTGATGCCCTGCGTCCCCGTCCCCTCGGGGAGGCATCAGGAGGGGAAGACACACACAGACACAATTCATCGGCGATTCCCCAGAAAAGTTGGGAAAATGTGGGCAGTGGGGGGGAGGACAGAGAAGCCCTGAAACTCTGGGAACATATGGGGGATAGTTTTATTTGTGTGTGTTTATTTGTGTGTCCTTGGGCCCCTTGATTCGTCCCCGTCCCCTCGGGGAGGCAGGCCCAGGCAGGATCGCGTCGTATCGAAATCAGGACGGGAGGTTTCTGGCCAGCGGCCCCGGGGGGCCATCGCCGGGCCTCGGGACCGTCAGCAAAAGGCGTCAGGATGAACATCCGGTCCCGGGGAGGTGCTCGGGACTTCTGGGGACGCCGTCCTGAAAAACAATCTGGACGCCGCATGTCCGGGGAAGAAGGCTCGAGGTTGCCAGACTGTGGGTTCCCAGAGATCCCACGCTCCAGCCATTCAAAATTAAGTCGGGCGTGCCCCTCTACAGGAGGGAAATTCAGAAACAGTCAAAACGGCTTCGAGTAGTCTGGGGACGTTTTTGTTGGTGGAAGTTTGGAGCATTTGGGAGAATTTGGGGGGTATTTTGTTTTTGCCCCACATCCCCCCCTGTGGGGGGGCGCGCCCGTGCTAAAACTGGAGCCGCGGGATCTGGGCCGTCCTCGGCCTCCGGGGGGGCCCTCGCCGGGCCTCGAGCGGCCCAGGCCTCGGGGGCCCCTTCCGCGCGTCGGGCAACGAGGCGGGGGCGCGACTCGTGGTGGGAGGCTTTCGGCAGGCGCGCGGCGGCGCGCGAAGGTGGCCTGCGTGGTGTTATTCGAGAAGGGGTCACACGAATCAGGAGCGAAAGAAGGACGTACATGTACATGAATCCACGCTGGTTTCGAGAGCACGCATTGCACAAATGTTCGTTTAACGCGGCCGGTCTCGCGAATCGAGGGGCCGTGTTCATGTACATAGCTGGGCGCGTACGTCTTTTGTGGGCTCCCTAACGAAGGGCACTGAATTGATCAACTCGGTTGCACTGGATGGTGCTACCTGACGGGCGGATCGGTTCGCCTTCGGCTTTTCGCGGGGTCAGTTCAGCCTGCAGTCAATAACTATGGGGTTGTTACACACGATGGGGCATTGCAGTCGTGAGCCCCAGTGCTCGAGCACATATTCCGTCCACCCGCCACTTGCTGGCGAAGCTCACTTGGCGCAATGGCGCGATGACCCTTTCATTGCACGGGATGGTGGTGGCGCTGATGACGAGGACGGCGATAACAGCGCTGGCAATGCCCCTGATCATGTTGATGATGACGGCGAGGGCGATTACGCCGATGATGGTGATGGTGATGAAGCTTGTGGTGATGGTGGTGATAGTGATCATGACGGTGGCAGTGAGGACTTGGCGGTGATGGTGACGATGGTGTCTGCAAGGATTAGGCGGAAGCTCACGCGCGCAGACCCTCCAAAATCCTGAGCGAAAGTGCATTGAACCGCCAAGTGGTTGCCGCACGTGTTTTGCCACATTTGCATTGGAACGCTTCGGAACAAAAGCGTCGTGTAAGAAGGACTCCGACGTGCCGCGCGCTCGGAGACGTGCGCGTGTGGTCCGCATGCTGTTGTTTTACAGGGTTGCCAGCTGCGCTATGATTATTGCCGGTGTTCGGCATGCGCGCGCACGTGGCACGGACGTGAAGCAATGGTAAGACACGTACGCCCCATGATTTCACTGAGCGCGCACGGGGACTCTTGCACGCTGCTGTTGAACAAAAGTTGTTTTGCACGTGCGTCAGACGAGTTCTAGTATGAAACGCTGCGAACCCGAACTGTGCTGGGCGGATTTCGGCATGCTTGCGCGGCGGCGCGCGAATGTGTTCCGCGTGGTGGTATCTGATTTGGTTCATGCCAAGGACACTGAGTACGTCGACTCGTTTGCACCACATGGTATCTTTTGACAGGCTGATCGCCCTCAGAATGGGGGGCGAGTTCAATTCATTATCAGAGAAAATAGGGGGGTGTCACCCATGTGTGGGAAGTGCAGTCGTGAGCTGCAATGCTCGAACAGCTATCCCACCCACCCGCCACTTGCTGACAAAGCTCCTTTGGCATAATGACGCGAGGACCCTTTGCATGCATGTGATGATGGTGGCGCTGATGACGAGGACGACGATAACGTAGGTGACGATGGCCCCGATGATGGTGATGACGACGGTGGGGACGGTGACGCCGACAATCGTGATGGTGATGCAGCTGATTGTAAAGATGATGAGTCTGATGATGTGGATGATGATGATGATGATGATGATGATGATGATGATGATGATGATGATGATGATGATGATGATGATGATGATGATGATGATGCTGATGATGATGATGATGATGATGATGATGGTGGTAGTGTCAATGATGACCCTGGCCATGATGATGACGAGAATGTTCGTGCGGACGATGACGAATTGCGCGCGCAGCAGTTTTGAATGTGTGTTCAGAAGTGCTGCTGCAGAGCCGCTGGCTCCTCATGCGTCTCTGGGTACCTCGGCCTTGACACGGTCAGCAAGCCTTGGCTCTGCAATGCCCTCGACAGAGATGCGTGCGCAGAGAGGCGCGCGCGTGGCCCGCACGCTGCAGTATCTGGTAAAGACTGTCGCAGTGCGCGCTCCTCGGATCAGCGCGTGAGCACCGCAGTGTCAGCCTTCGCAGGAGACCTCGGCCTCGCTCGGGCGTGCGCGCTTTTTGGCTCGGCGAGGACTGCCGAGGTGAAAACGCACGAAGCCGAAAACTTTACGGGAGTGGACGTTCGAGCGTTGGCCAGAGATGGCGCGAGTGCCCGAGTCGCCCTCAAGATCGTGACTGCCAGATTGTGGACGTTCTCGGCCTCTGCAGCCGAAGAAGAAGAAGAAGAAGCTGTAAACTCATGCATGTTCGGAGGTCCGCCCATGTTTCGTGTATTGGTGCTGGACCCCCATCGGCGCCTTCGTCGACGCCACCGGCGCGATTCGCGCGCCAGGCAGGTGAGTCCAGCGCCGATCCAAGAAACCCGCGCGGACCTCAGCGTTTTGCTGTTTATGTAGGTTCTTATTCTGCGGTGGAGGCCGATTCCCGGCCCTGGGACGGTCAAACCGAGACCTGCCCTGAGGAAGGGGTCGAGATTCCCAGGGGCCCGTGCCACAAAAACACGTCGTCGGAGGATGGGAAAGCACCGCATGGCCACGCGCGCGCGACAGCCGTGCCGAGTTCTGCCCACTGAGAGTGGGCGCCCTTCCACTCCAAGCACTGCTTGGGAAAAGCACAAGTGTTAGAGGGCCCCCAAACGGTGCGCTGACCTTCCACTGCGGTGGGTCATTGGGGATTCGGGGTGACCGCACGGTTTTGGGATTATGGTCGCTCTCCGAGGATGTCTCGGGCGATTGGGGCCTCCGAGGTCCCAGAACGGCGGGGTGACGGACGGTACGGTGAGGTGTTTGGGAATTTCGAGATTACCTCACGGTTTGTCACCGAACTGTTTTGAGACCGCGGAATCGTGAGTCTCCGTTTCGTCCTTCTGTCCGTGCCTTCGCAATGGTTTGGCCCAAGCCGTTGATCGTGCAGGAGTTCCTCCTCCCTGGCGCCCTGAGCAGATCGCCTCGCTCAGGGCACTGTGCGGCAAGATGGTCGGCGGAGCCTGGGGGAAGGTGTTCATCCGTTGGGGTGTCGGCTACATCTTTCACGGCTATTGCTTCGGCTACTGCGTGTACGTGCTCGCGGTGAAGCCGGCGGCGATCACCACCAAGCTGGCCATCCAGGACAAGTTCCCCCACGCCTTCGACTTCTTGGAGGAGTGAGTGCGCGCGGCCTTCTCGTTTGGTCGTGAACGTGGTCCCACTGCATGCTATCGGGCGCAGTCGGCGACAGCAGACGGCGAAGGGTGTGCATTGTTTCCACGGCGCATTCCTCCGACTCATTCGCTTGAGTTTGCATCGAATCGTTATCACGCCGGCGTTCGTAGCCCCTCCTCTGCATTATGATTTTTGGGGGCAAGGCTACCCATCGGTCTTTGGAAGTATGTTGTTCTGGATTCCCCGCCCCCAATCTACTTCAGGCGCCTTCTTACTGCTAGAGTCGCGCGATTTTCTCTCCTCCCTCCTCTTCAGGGGGCGGGCGGAAACCCAAACAACTTTCAACTCCTTCCCACTTCCTGGTTCTACCTACTTCTTCCGACCGATGTGACGTGAGTGGACAGACGCAATCCCCCTCCTTGAGCTCCACATGTTGCTGTCCGTGGCCTGTTGCTCCAGCTCCGCGCCTGCGACTGCCTCTTCTGCCCCTCCCTCCTCGGCTGGCGGCGCTTCGTGGTTGGGGCGATACGGGCGCGCTGAGGGATGGAGGCGACGCGGGCGAGGCTTTCGATCGCGCCTGCAGGCCCCTCCTCAGGGCGGCCTCGTAAGCGAGCACCCTCTCCTGCTCGGAGGAGGAGGTGGGTGGAGGGATGTTGGAGGCCAGGGAGGAAGGGGTACTCTAGGAGGGAGGAGCGTTGATATTAAATGGCGGGGGGTGGAGGGAGGAGGAGGAGGAGGAAGAGGAGGAGGAGGAGGAGCATACGGAGGAGTATGAGGAGGAGGGGGCTGTGCGCTAGGTGTACGCGGTGACGAAGAGGGTGGGTTCCAGGTGCATTCATTGCAGAGGATCATGGTTTGACGATGAGGGGGACGAGGACAAGGGTCACCAGGGAAAAAGGGGTGGGCCTGAGGAGGACTGACATCATGAGCCAGAAGAGAACAGTAGCAACAACAACAGCAGTGGGATGCCATCCGGATGCAGAGCAGGAAGCGGCGAGGATAAATGGTTGATAAGTTGATTCGGGATGGACGAGGAGACATGAGAGGGCTGTAGAAGGAATAAGATGGTGTATTCGGAAGAGGAGGAGGATGAGGAGGAGGAGGAGGAGGAGGAGGAGGAGGAGGAGGAGGGGAGGAGGAAAAGGAGGATGAGGAGGACGGAGAGGAGGAAGAGGAGGAGGAAAGGAGGAGAAAAGAGGTAAGGAGGAGGAGGAGGAGGAGGTCGAGAGAGAGGAGGAGGTCGAGGAGGACGAGGAGGGCAGAGAGAAGAGAAGGAGGGAGGAGGGAGGAAGGAGAAGGGAGGAGGTAGGAGGGAGGAGGGAGGAGGGAGGAGGGAGCAGGGAGCAGGGAGCAGCAGGGAGCAGGGAGCAGGGAGCAGGGAGCAGGGAGAGGGAGCAGGGAGGAGCAGGGAGGAGGAGGAGGGAGGGAGAAGGGAGGAGGAGGGAGGAGGGAGGAGGGAGGAGGGAGGAGGGAGGAGGGAGGAGGGAGGAGGGAGGAGGGAGGAGGGAGGGAGGGAGGGAGGGAGGGAGGGAGGGAGGGAGGGAGGGAGGGACGGCGCGCAGGGCCGCCAGGAGGCAGCGCTCGGACCTTGGGCCGCCATGGCTAGCTCGGCAGAAAAACGCGTTGGGGCCGCCTGCGAGGATCTTGCTCGACTTGAGGTTGCGGTGCGCGCCAGGGTGCACGTCGAGGCCGACCAGGCCTTGTGGTCAGTGCTGCAGCGCTCCATCAGCAGGGCCCTCGACTACGACATGCGCGTCTGTCCTTGGGAGTATATCGAGTCACACGCATGGAAGCTGGAAGAGGCGTGCTGGATGGCGTTGGGCGTGCTGCTTTCTGGCCCCCTGGATGCGCAGGCTCGCGCGCAGGCAATGCTCCCAGGGGCGCTCGGTGGCTTGGCGCTCGGGCTCCCGACGCGCACGAGGGCGGCGGCAACTTTCCAGGCGACGCACGCGGCGCACGCGCAGGCAGCAGCCCTTCTGTCTGCGAGGCTTCGTCGGCCCCATAATGGCCGGCAAGACGACGAGGCTGCGCGTCGTGCTGCCGAGGTGCTTCGGGATGCAGGCGTGGACGTGCGAGGCGGAGAACCGACGTTCACAATGGCTGCGCGGCGCCGGTATGAGGCTGGGCCTTGGCATAGCGACACCCCCACCAGCGAGGTGTTCAGATTCCCAGTTCACGCCACGCGGTCTGCTGCGCCGGGGTCTGCCCCTGCGGTTGCGGCAGGACCCCCTCGAGCCCAGCGTGGCCATGTCCACGGGAGGACGCTGCTCGGCCTGGACGCGCTGGCGGCCACCGAGCTGCACGCCGAGCTGGACGTCCACCGCCAAACCAGCATGCTCCAAGCAGGCGGCCCTGGGAGCGGCAGCTTCTGGAGCACCGTTCCGGACCGCCCCGCCCTCCGCATGGCAAATTCGCAGTGGGCAGTGTCGACGAAGTGCCGCCTCGGCATTTGCAGGGCGCCGGAGGCTGGCCTGACCTGCGTGCTACAGAACAGAGGGGATGATGAGCCTTGCGGCGCGCCGCTCGATTCCAACTTGCATCACCCCACTGTCTGTCGCGCGGGCGCGGGCCGACTGAAAAGCCACACTGCCGCGGTGGCGGTGCTCATGAAGCACTTGCGGGCGACTGGCGCTTTTGTGGCGCTGGAGGCAGCAATCCCGGAGTTGTACCTCATCGACGACGACGGCGTGGTGCACGAGCGCTTCATGGACCTGGTGGTCTGGTGGCCAGGCGGCAGCCGCCGGTACCTGCTGGACGTGACCATCAGGTCGCTCTTCGCCGCGGGGTTGACCACCCCGCATCTGCTGCCCGGCGCGGCGGCGCGAGAGGGCGAGAAGGACAAGACGCGGCACTATAGGGGTGGTCGTGCTGCCGTTCGCGATGGAACCCGGGGGCCGCCTTGGCCAAGCGGCCCTGCAGGCGCTGGCGACTTTGCACCGTGAGAGTGCAGAGTTCGGGCGCCTCCGCCCGGGCACAACGAACGCCAGCGCCTTGGCCCTCGGCCGCTTGCGCGCTGACCTGGAGGCGGAGGTGGCGCGCCACGCCGCCCAGACGCAGTTGGCCGCGCTGGGGGGCATGTCGCTCCGGGCGCTGGGCTGGGCCACCAGCGCGCAGCAGTGGCGGCGGAACGACGCGCACGGCAACTGAGAGGAGGGGTTAGCAAGCTTAGCATGTGTTGGTGGTGGGACGGACTGTGGATGTGCCCGAGGGAGGAAGGGAGGGAGGGAGGGAGGGAGGGAGGGAGGGAGGGAGGGAGGGAGGGAGGAGGAGGAGGAGGAGGAGGAGGAGGAGGAGGAGGAGGAGAAGGAGGAGGAGGAGAGAGAAGAGGGGAGAGGAGAGGAGGAGGAGGAGGAGGAGGAGGAGGAGGAGGAGGAGAGTCTAGTGCGCAGAACCTGCGCGGGGTGAGAGAGCGCACAGGGCTCGCTTGCTTGGCCGACCTCGAAACCTGCTCTCTGCCCCTCGCCCGCGCTTGCCTGGCCGCGCTGCCGCCGCGGCCGCCTCGCCCGGGCGCGCACCCAGCTGGATTGCCCACCGGGCAGGCGCTGGCGAAGACGCCGAAGCGAAAGCTCCAGAAAGCTTTAGCAGCAAGGATCGACAAGGAAAATGCGATTCCCTGATGCGGGCCCTGAAGCCGGAAACAGAGGCGCCCCTTCGCTCCTGCGGCGGGCCGCACGTTGGCGCTTGGCAGACCGCGTCGCTGGGCTTGGAAGCCGAGCGGCTCGACGACACCGTCTGATGCAGCACGGCGCGGGCGGTGCTCGGCCAGACTGCAGCCCCCTCTTGCGCGACCTGCTGCAACGTCGGGCAGACTGGGGGGCGCGCTGGACAACTCTGCGGCGAGCCACTTTGCAACTGGTCGCGCCACTGCTGGCGCTGCTCCCGCGGAGGCGGCACCAAGGCGCGCAGCGGCGACCTCGAGGGCACCTGGGGCCGCATCCGCGCGGAGTGTGGCTCCCGCGTGGGGTACCAGGCGCGCGTGCCTGGGTGGGACCGCTGGCGCTGCCCGGGCTGCCCGCTGGACAGGCCAGCGGGCCACTGTGCCAGCTGTGGCGCGCTGCGGACGGAGAGGGAGGAGGTCGTTTTCGACCTTGCAGCTCAGCGTGCTGACTGTCCCCGGCTGCTCTTCGACGTCGCCGTCCGTTACCGCGTGCTGGGCGACGCCCGCGCCCTGGCCGCGGCAGGGCGCGACGGCGCCGTGAACGCCGAGGCGGAAGCCGACAAGCGCCGGCGGTACTCGGCGGACCTTGCCCCGCGGGGCATGGTGCCCCTCGTTGCCCCTGGCAGGCGCGGGCGGGCCGCCCTGCGGCACTGCTGCATAGGGCAGGAGGCCGCTCTGGCTGCCGCCAGCGCGCTGGCGAGCCGTTGGGGCCAGGAGCTGCGCAGGGCCACCGCCAGTCAGTTGCGCACAAACGTGGGCGCGGACCGCGCCGGCCGGATTGCCGAGCTGCGGGCCGCCGGGGCGACCTCGCTGGGCTTGGGCGGCGCTCGTCGCGATAGCGCACACCGACCGCCGTCGCGGCGCTCCTCCTTGTCGCCGCGTGCTCGGCGCTGGTCAGGGTAGTTCGAGGTGAACGGGTGAACGTGAGCCCTTGTCGAAGGAGGTGCATGACGAGGAGGAGGAGGAGGAGGAGGAGGAGGAGGAGGAGGAGGAGGAGGAGGAGGAGGAGGCCGAGGAGGAGGCGGAGAAAAAGGAGGAAGAGGAGGAGGAGGAGCGTGAGGAGCAGGAGGAGCAAGTGGAGGAGGAGGAGGAGGAGGAGGATGAGGCGGAGGAAAGGGGAGGAAGAGGAGGAGGAGGAGGAAGAGAGGAGACGGAGGAATAATGGATGACGAGGAGGAAAAAGTGGAAAATTATAAGGAGAAGGAAATGGAGAAGGAGGAGGAGGAGGACGGAGAGGAACGGGAGAAGGAGGAAGAGGAGGAGGATGAGTAGAAAGAGGAGGAGGAAGTGGAGGGAAAGCCGCGTCGCTCCTGCTCCCACGACGAAGCGGGGGATTGGGGGAGGCAGGCAAAGCGGCGGGAGGAGGGGCTCGGGGGGAAGGGCCGAAACGCAGGAATGCCATCGGGGAGGGGCCTCCCCAGCACCTCTTGCCGCGGAGGGGGGGCTCGGAACTCGGAGCTCGGCCTGCGTCTTGCGGGGGTGCTGCAGGGCGGGGCCGAAGCACCCGGAAAATACTGGCGCGTGAAACAGCAGCATCGCGCTGCAACGGTGCGAGAGGGGGGAGGAGGAGGAGGAGGAGGAGGAGGAGGAGGAGGAGGAGGAGGAGGAGGAGGAGGAGGAGGCGGCGGCGGCGGATCAGCATGTGGTCAGAGTCTCGGCAGAGCAGAATGGACGACCGCTGGGCGCACGAGAGCTGCTGTAGCCCTGGCGTTGTCAAAAGAATCGAGTCCCCCCCCCAGCAGGCTCAAAACCCAGCCATGGGGACTCCACTGGGTATGTAACGGGTCGTGAAGCCATTACCCTACCATAAACAAAATCGCACTGTGGAATGGCTCCAACAGTCACGGGCGACTCGGCCGTGCAGTGGAGACCACATCGGCGGATGTCTGAGTTTTTGGGAGGGGTCTCCTCCTCCTCCTCCTCCCCCTCCTCCTCCTCCTCCTCCTCCTCCTCCTCCTCCTCCTCCTCCTCCTCCTCCCTCCCCCGCCGACGCCCGACCGCCGCCACGTGCCCACCAGGGTGCCGACCGCCGCCACGTGCCCGCCGAACTTGGGGGATGTTTAGCATCCGTTGCACATGTTGGCAAACGTTGCGTTGGTTGGCAGAGGGTTGTAACCAGTTGGCAGCAGTTTCAGCAAACCTTGCTAACACGGTTGCTGAGTGGTCTACCGCACAATGGCAAACCTACGCGAAAGGGTTTAGCAAAATATTTACAATCAGCAGTTTAAAGGTTTATCCTTTCCTGCGAATTGTTTAGGAGTTCCTAAGCGTACTGGAAAATATCAAGCCGCAGCGCGTTTGAACTATGGAGGTGTGAGGTGCTTTCTACTTATGTACCACGCTCTCCAGGTGAACTCCGACCTCTAACCCCAGAAACATAGATACATGAAAAACAGCGTGCACTGCACCAAACAATGTCCTACACCACGCAGTAGTGCAACACGAAGCAGTTGCAGCGTGTTGTCGTTCTGCACGGGGCATGGCCGCCCCGCAGTTCACCAACACAGTCACCGAATGAGCGATACAGGGTGCGGCACTTGCGCTTCCACGTGCTATGCCATTTCGACATCTTTGAACACTCGCAAAGCTGCACGGCCGCGACGTCTACCCCTTCGGCCCTAGCCAAGAAGAGCACTCGAGCCACACCCCTGCCGGCGTCGAGCACCAAAGCAACGATGTCGCCCTCCCAACGTACATCGTATCATGAAAAGCTAGCTTTTCCAGATACTTCGTAAACAGAAGCACCGCAACTACTCTGAAGAAATGCGTTCATTTTTTGTTGGCGGGGGACGTGGTGAGACAAGGCCCACTGCCGTGTTCAGCCACGGCGTGGTGTCGAGAGTATGCAAAGATTCAGAAGCAACATGTCTGAGCACACCTCGGCAATCGCTGTGGTGGTGTGCGCCCCACTTCAATCTTTGCTGATGCTTTCTTCCAAGCGCGAGCGTATTCAGAGTGAAACCAAGCAGCGTGGCGGAGAACTGCGTGGTGCTTCCACAAACATCCATCCGGGTCTCAACGCAGCCCCAAAACACCCAGCGTATTCCTCGCATGCTGACGGCACGGCGTCCGCAGGAATCTTGAGAGCTTACCGTGGTGCCACAACATAGGAACCAACTCGCTCGAGGACATGATTGATCCACAGGCTGCACTGTGAGCTCCTGTCGGCACAACTGCCTCGCGAAACCAAAGGGGCCAGCGGGGCACGGGGATGCTCAGGGCCTCGCCCCGCAAGCCTTTCCAGGGTTCTGCCTCCCAATCGGAAGCGGCCCGCTCGGGCCCTCTTCTTTCTTTTCCTTATCCTCCTGCCTCCTCTCCCGCTCCGCGCCTCGAGGGCCGACGGAGCAGCGCTCGTGGCCGCCGCTCCTCGCGAGCGAGCTCGCGCGAGGGGCGGTGCTCTCTGGCCAAAAAATGGCCATGACCGGGTACCGTCGGGGCGCTGAGGAAGGAACTCAGAGCGTGAATTACCTACCCCGCTTTCGCTTCCAGGCAAAACCAAGCCAGACCACGCGCCTCCTCGTCAAGCGGCCTGACCAGTACAGGCTGCAATTTGGCATCGTTTGGTATCTCTTGGAAGCGAGGGTGGTCAAAAGCGAGGTAGGTTTGTTTTCCCCCTAGGAACCCTTTTCGTTGGGGAGAGGCTCGGTGTTCCTTCGTTTTTGTTACAGCTCGCCTCTGGTTTTGCTCAGGGTCTCGGTGGGAAGCCGAAGTTTAACCTGTGGGAATAAGGGGCCTCGTTCCTTATTCAGGGTTCCTTAGGTCAACGCCCCGACTGTAGCTGTGCTGTTGTTTGTTGTGCTGGGGAGTGTGTTTTTTTTGGGGGGGGGATGGGGCCAAGCGTTCAGCAGAGGTTGCCGTGCACCCAACAAACATCTAGCCGATCGTTTGCCTGGCCAGGTAAAGGTGTAGCTGATTGTCTGTGCAATCGTTTGCCATGTCACATATAGGATTGCAATTGTGAGGGCGCAACCGTTTAGCAAGTGATGTGTCGTGCCACCAGAGATACAAATCTAAAAGGCAACCCCACACAAACAGTGTAACCCTTTAACACAAATAGGAACACTTATGAGCAGTTACGGCGCCGTTGACATGATATTACTTGGTACTCACACAATGACTACTTGACGTTTACCCCACGATCTTCTACGACATGCAAATCCGCCAAGATCTGCCAACCCGGTGTCCTATCCGAGTTGGGGCCTTCGAGATCCACCGGAGGAAGTCACCAAAGCTTTGCGGGCGACGCGGCAGCGTTTTGGGCGGCATTTTTGAAAGCTGAGAGGCGTTTTGGGTGCCCTTGGCTGCGCGGCCCCTTCAAGCAAAATTGACGGCCGCGCTGGGGCTCTCGACTGAATGTCTTTCTGTCGGCACACTTCGATGCGCTGGCTTCAGCTTGGGGGGGCCAAAAGGCAGGCTCCCCGCGGCGCGATTCCAAGTTTGCCCCGATCGTTCCGACGGGACGGTTCGTTCCACACTGGGCGGCTCACGC